TTAAAATATTTATAGCACCATGTCTGATTCTGTTTCATAATAACGTAAATCAGGTAACTATTTCAAAGTTAGGGGCCATAAGGAAAACAAATTTTAAGAGAAATCTGTCAGCCACTGGAGTTCTGGGATTACAGTTACCTAATCACGGTTAACTGTTCGAAAAAAGATAGCAAAATCAAGTTCCGGTCTGTATAATTTTTACCAAGGAAATAAATTGAAATTCTACTTGTACGGAATTTATCTTACTTTTTAAAGGAGAAGTCACTCCAAAAAAACGTATATTTTTTTGTCAACGTTAATAAAAACATCGCACTAAGTTAAGCCACTGACCGAAGTTTCACCCTTTAACGTGCAGGTTTTCCCTATGAAATTCGTCTCCAAAAAATCCCATAATTCGAACATCTTTGCCACCATTTTGAACAGGCTGCCTTTTCGTGACGTCATTCCGTCCGAGAGATTTTGTCCAAATGGCTTCTGAAGAGCCTTTTAACTACCACTCTGAGTTATGGTTGTTCTTGAGCCATATTGTTTTGAGCCAAACAGGATCCAAACTCCAAAGTGATAGCATTGAAGATAGTGAACTGGATAATCGCATGCACTTCAGAGGCTGAAACTTTGGTGAGCGGAGAGGCTGAATGTTTACTTGCTATAGGCCAAGACAAAAGAAGTATACTTTTTGGAGTGACCTTCTCCTTTAACACGAATCAACGGGTGTTACGTTTGATAAACCATAGATGGATGGACGACCAGGCAGTCGGACGGACGGGAAAAGGGAAGGACGAAGGGATGAACAAGGCATGGAAGGAGGAGAAAAAGAGAAGAAGGATCGAGGGAGGGACAAAGGGAAGGAGGTGGGATGGAGGACGGGAAAGAGAGAGAGAAAGAGGGAAGAAGGGAGGCAGGAAAGAAAGGAGGTAGAGATGGATGGAAAGGGGCTCGGAGTGAGAGAAGGGAGGACGGACGGATGAATGAATGAAAGGACGGGCTTTTGGAGCTTCTATACTTTCATCCAAGCGAAATGATTGTGTTAACTTCAAATGTACTGGCTGGTTGAATAGATTTTTTTTTTCGTGGTGAAAATGATGATGACATTTTTCTTTTCTCTTTTTTGTTTTCTTTTTTGTTTTTTGTTTTTTTTTAAATCCATGACAATGTTCTACTTCATTTATTTCAATTCCTAGCAAAAGTAAGAAAAATTAGAACCAGTAAAGCTGTTCAATTCTTGGACCCCATCCACGATAGCTGCCAGATCGCTATATAAAGGTGATGCTTCAAAAGCCGTAGCCTGTAAGCAGGCTCTCGTGCGTTGCGGCACGAGCAAAGGCGAATCCGAGAAAGACGAGTCTGCCAGCAAAGTGAACCGGTGAGGGGCTTACCACGAAAATGAGGAGCTGTATTCAGACAACAATAACGTCCGGGAAGGCTCTCAGCCTGCTAGCAGGCTACAAAAGCCTCCAAGACTTATGCAGGCCAAGAGCTGTCAAACCACATTTATTTGACATTTTCCAATATCACACTTGTGCAGGATATCTCGCAGGTGACGAAAAGAACTTCAAAGGCTTCAAAGGTCGCCAAAACGTACGTAGTCCAAGAGTTGTCAAACTATACTGACATTTTGCAATAGCACTAGTATTGGTTACCTTGCAGGTGGCAATATGGCTGGATTAATTACTTCACTTTGTTGCGTTTTTAGGACAATGGCAAAATATCCGCTGCTTGCTAATTTTCAACTGATCTTTTCAGTGCAGAGGGAAACCATTAAAGCGCTAGACTTACAACCAGGGTGATTGACACTGACGCAACGTGCTCAACAACTTAAAAGGCCTATATACTCGTCGTTTAGTCAGGCAATGAAACGACTCGCAACAAGGAGTCACGAAAAAGTAAAACTTCACCAAGATAAAGTCCAGATTTGTAATACTACCATAAAATAATATATCGATCATACTGGTGGCTATAACAACGAAAAGAAAAGACAGCGCAGTCAGAAAAAGGTTCGTGAGCTTTTAATATGCTATATACAGCTGCTGATAACAATAAAAAACCATTGTGACATCCATCAATAACACAACAGAAACACGAAATAGGCGGCCAAAAAGCACTGTTTTAATGAAATAATGACTGCAATAATGATACGCATTTGACAGCTTTTGAAAGAGAACAACAGCCCATATGTTCAATTGTGTGCGCATTTTTAATTAATTTTTCAGCTACTCGAGAGAGGCTCAAACTTATTACATACAGATGATCGCTGCTCCCCGTTCTAAAAGTCTTCCCACGTAACTGTTGTTACGACAACGGTGAAAAGATCAATTCGAATAAAAACATGATTAAAGAAAAGCAAATTTACGGGCGGAAATGATCGTTCGAATGGATAGAAATGCCATTTGTTTAACTTCCACGATAATGAACAACAATGAATTATAGAGAAATAGATGTTTACGATTGTAAAGGGCAAGGCTGATCGATTGACACGTTTCACTAAAACGTGCCTAGTTTAGTTTCCATTCTAGTTTTCAAAAAGAATAATCACCTTATAATTAGAGAAACGTAGGTTTTCAGCTAGCTTTAGCTGTAACAACGAGATAATTTCTCCGATTAGACTACACTGCATTGAACATATTTTGTTTCATGTGTCATTCGAATACCATTTTGTCTCCTTCACGTTGGCGAGGCATTTGACGACCTGTAGTAGCACCGTTTTTTTCTTTTTCTTTTTTTTTCCTTCTTCGTCTTCTTCTTCTTCTTCTTCAGGCACCCTCCTATTATTTCCCTCACCAAATCCCATTTATACATATGCCCAAACAAAACACAAGCTTAGAGCTATTCTTAAGCATGGCCATTATAGGCCCATTATTTCAATGCCCACGATCACGTTTTGCGGTGGACAAACATGCTAACCTGTCTGATCTTGATGAGAGATCTTAACGACTTGTGGTTTCATCCACTTCTGCGTTTTACCAAAAAAAGGCACAGTATATAACCTGCGTGCACAAAAATTGAACATCTTAGGTCTTTAAAAGGTCTAAAAAAATTGGTGATTCAGCCTCCGCACTTACATCAATACAACTGACAAACACGAGGATTTATATTAATTTCCTCTTTTTGTATTTCAATAAAAGCTGGTTAAAATAAACCGTGCGTGACTCATTGCTACTAAAAGGCTTTTTTTCGTTTTTTTGTGGCAAGGGCCACAAATTCAGTTTCCAACTAAAATTAGCTAGGGAGTTCTACGGGTGGTTGAAAATATTTCATTTACTGTCTGAATGTCCAATACCCTGCTTTCTGTTCATTTTTCGTGGTTCGAGTTTATATATGTTTCACAAATATTCTCCATTGAAGTTAGAACCTGAATTTAAGTTGCATGATTCTAAGTCGCGACGAAAAGAGAGAACAATGGAATTTTTCCTAAACTGTTGATTAGCGAAAAGGTTCAAGGCAGTTTGTGATACTCTACGATGACAGCAGAAACCTGTCGCAATACAGTCGCTTACGCTTACGTTTATCATAAATTTGGGAAACGCTTTGTTTTCTGAACAGCATGCAAATTTAAACATGACAACATGTAGTCGGCACGAGACAGTACTGCCGGGAAATTTACAAACGAAAATACAATGTAGACAATTGAATTAGTCGATGGCACCAACTCGGCAGTGTTCGCTGCATTTTTTTTTTTTTTTTTTTTTTATTGAAATTTTTCCCTACTCTGTTCCTTAAAAGCGTTGTTAACAGTACGTTTTCTCCACGAAACTAAATCCCATACGCGTATCTCGGTCACTCAATNTTTTTTTTTTTTTTTTTTTTCTAAAGTAATGATACACTGCCAGCCTGACGGGGAAAGAGAAGAAAGGAAAGCATCGACAATGAGATATGGTCATGATGCAATACCAAACTCCCGAAACTAACATTCAAAGAAATGAATGCAGTCATTGAGGAGAATTAATACTTCGATCTAGAAGCAGAATAAAGAATGGTGCATCGTCTGTGGTCAATGAGAATTGTACGTGTCTGTACGAAAAGGTAAAAGAACAAAAAGAAAAGATCTATTGATTTAACTTAATTAAGAAAAACTGAGACGGGACTCCGCACATTAAATTCATTGACAATTGCGAATTAAGGCTTGCACTTTCACTTTCATTTTAACATGGAAAATGTGTCAAACAGTAAAAGTTGAAAATTATTTCCTGTGCTCCTTGTTAGCAGGCAGATCTGACAATGTGTTAACTTCAGCCAGACTTCGCCGCCACTCTACTCAGCACATTAACAAGAGCGCTTAAAAACCATGAAAATGAGGGGTAAAGGGGCTTCAAAATGTGTTAACTCGTGAAAGGTGTAAAAGGTTCATCAGCTGTTTCTTTTTGACTCAACAACGCAAAGTGAAAACAACTTTTTAAGTTAACAAACAAAAACAAATTGATTCAATTTTTTAAACCAGTCGCTTGGAAACCGTTGTTTTATTTTGGCAGCCAAACCATGCTTGTGGCGATGTTTTCTTTATATCTTCAAAGTGTGAAAAACAAGTCTTTATTACATCTTTGGAGCGGGAATAATTACGAATACAACCGTACCAGGCAACTCTGTATTCGTACCAACTGAGTTTCATTTTCAAAAAGTGAAAATAATAATAATAATATTGTGACTAAAGGTAACGACTTTGTATTTCAGATTCAAATAAATGTATATTTTCCAAATGGGGCTAAGTATATAAAGTTCTCGCCGCATTTATGGTGAGTGTCACGCTGCCATCAGTATTGTCATCCTTAGGAATAATTGGACCCTTCAAACACAAAAGGCCTTCAGCATATTTCATCATGGGTGATGACGAGCAGACATGACAGTTGACTCATCGACTTCATTCTCGTTGCCGAGTAACTTTCGTTGTTATCAAAAACTTCCCATGTAAATAAAATTACTACCATTTGTTATATGCTGAAGATTTTTCTCTCCGTCGCAAAGATCAAAACATAATCTGCGATTACAGAGACGTGAAAATTTGATGTGAATTTACTGTGTCCCTTAAGAGTCTAGGATACATTCGAAATTCATCAACGCGTGTAATAGTTTTCAATTAACAAGTTTCAAAATATTGGCTGGATATTCACATTGTCCATAATATGAAATTCGTTGAAAAACTGGTTTGCGCGAGCCAAATTGAGCATTCTTTCTACGCGACTATAACACAAATACATCGGGCTCTAAACATTAATTCATGACAAAAGTTATAAAAAATAAGACTTAATAAGTGAAAACGAAGGTAGCCGGCCATTTAGTTTACAACTATTACCACGAGACCTGCTCTATCAACAATGGCGGGGAACCCATTAGATTGTTATAAACCACGTTTTGTCTTTTAGAGACTTTATGACAGTCTTTTGTTTCTTGCTCAGACTCCCTCACAAAGCGTAACACCGGACCACCGCAGCTAAATGTGCATGAAGCTAAGCAGGTGTTCCATCCACCAAACTTGATTGACAACTAGTCTAAGTTACTTGCGCTTGATTGGCTTCCCAAGGCAATTACTACCAAATTTGATTTTATTTCAGTCAGGCGCCTCATCAAACAGTATTTTTGCTTGTAATATTGAGGCAACAGCATGCCAGAGATTCTCTGTGGTGAAAAGCTTCGCGTGGCGCTAATTTGGAACGACCATTTGAAACAAGACAGCGAATCGCCTGATGTTTGTTTATGAGCTCTGCTCCTCCCGCCTACCAAAGAGTATTTACACGACGCATAAATATAATGTATCTTAAATCTACTCAAAATATGCCAGCTCCACAGGAATTACTGAGTTTCTCGTCAACGTTTTGCGCTTAAGAACGTCCCGTAAATAACCAGCCAACGAACCCGCGACAGAATGCCAATTCGTCGAGGACGATTCGCGCCGCAGAACACATTTCTTGAAACCATCGCTCAAAAATTCGACCGAGGAAGTGAGTGGCTACCTAACGTACAATTCCGTTCTTGTTTAGTAGTATGAAATAATGTAATTCATCAAAAGACCGGAGTGGTTGGTACAATGTACCGGCGGCTAGGAGATATATTAAAGCCTAGCATGGCGTCGTAAGTTTATAACTAGTGCTTATTGCCCACCTGATTATTAGCAATACTCGGTATTTCCTGCTTATTTCCATCCAGACAGTAACTTCGTTCTTGGCAGCGCTCAGGAAAAGAACAATTACCCCATAGTGTACTGCAGTGATGGTTTCTGCGAGCTCACTGGTTTTTCTCGGAGCGAGCTCATGAGGCGAAGCTGTGGCTGTAACTTTTTGTACGGGCTGGAGACAAATCAAGATGATAAAACGAACATTCAAAAGGCTCTGAAAGCGCAAGTGGAACTCAAGAAAGAAATAATGTTCTACAAAAAGAACGGTAAGCAGTTTATTTCCTTGTTTTGAGCACCGGTTGAAATTAAGCTTGTGTGAGAGATTCTGGTCGATTCCCAGTGTTTTTTAGGCCTGTGTCGTGCTAATCACCTTGCTTGAAGGAACAGAATCGCCGGCAATATTTAAAGGGCAGACAAAGTTACATATTTTTACTCGCTGATAAGTTAACCTTCGATAACCTGGCTTACTTTCCGTTCGTGGAGAAAATCACGTTGCATAGTATTTTCATTGAAAACCTTTTTTATCGGAAGTTTCAATTAAGTCTGGGCATTCAACAGCTATAATACCACAAAACAATAAAAAACAACTCGGAAAAAAATTTACATAAGAAGTTATAACCACATTATTCAAACTGTCGATTTCATCGCCACAAATTTGACCGGACGAATAAAATCGCAAACTGGTATCAAAATATCTTAGGAATATTTTTTTACTTTCTGTGTCTAAGGCACACATACCATTCCACGAAACACAATACCCTTAGGTCGAAAAGGCTAGGGCGACTATTTGAATTCGCCTTTCAACTGAGCACCGCACACATCATCATTAACATAAAAAATAAACTTAACCTTCTATTTTGAATTTCACTGACCAGAAAAGAGATCACCAAAAATATCCACAGCAAATAGTCTGTGTTAGAATTATCGTTAAATAGATGTTTTTCTGATGGGATTATTTCTCTGGTAAGCTACGTTCGAATGATTAACCTTTTGGGTAACACAAAATGATGTAACATATCGCTTTGCAATTTACATGTATATATATGTTCTTGGGTTCCCCTTGTTTCTTTTCTTAAAAACTTCAAAAAATCCATTAACAAAAAGCGGGCAGGAAAGGCAAAAATTTTATGCTATTTCCCTCGCTAAACAATAGCCTATCGATATTCTTTGAAGAACATATTCAATATGCTTTAACAACGACTGCATTGTAATGTTCCTTCGTACGTCAGGGCAAAATTGCTCACATTTCTTACGACATTACCGGAATAAAAACATACACGCGCTGCCATCGAGTCGGAAATGACATCGTTTCTGTCTTAATTTAATGATTCCCAAATCCCACACTTGAGAAAATACCCAGAGACGGCTTATTTAACTTTGCTACATGGATGCGTGAAGGAAAAAACTTTGTACATTATTTCGTCTAATTCGTACAATCACATCCTTGACGCTCAGACTTCATTGTGCTGAAATCTGAATGAAGGAAGACGCTGTTTTAAAAAACAATGGCACAGCAAACGCTGAATATCAACGAAAGCGCTACAAATTAGCGCCTAGAGCGATGATTTATCAAGTCTGAACATGGAATCCTTAACACACTGTAATGGCAAGCACAGTTCGTCCGGCGTATCAACGGGTGATCGAAAAAAGTCACGAAAAGAAATGCTGATAAAAAGATAAGTTTGAATTATGGAAAAAGAACAGAAATCCTTTCACATTGTATCGCTCTTCTTGCAACGCAAAAAGAATAAAAAATGAAAGCCATTTTATTTTACTTCTGGTATATTTTGGAAACAGCAGACTACACAAGTATCATATCATAACATGTCCTATATTTGACGGGCTGTTTGGTTTTTGAAGTCCTGTGTCAATATCAAGCGAACAAAGAGAAATGATGGATATTAGCTCTTCAACAGAGTACTTTATGTTACAAATCGATGAATAATATTACTCACGAACACAGCCAAATAACTCGAAATAAGCCTTCAACAGCGAAGGGCGATACCAAATTTATTTCCCGGCCAGGCGATAGCGAACTTGACCGACAAGCAAGCCAAGACGCGAGCGAAGTATGGTTCTTGCAAACAACTTAATCAACCTAAATTTCGTATGCGTTCTTTTCATTAGAGATGAAATATTTTCCACAAAATAACAAGTCTAAACTGAAAAGAATAAGATGGTTCATCTAGAGCCAAAATGTTTGTTAAACATTTAGAGCGTTGACGTCTTGAGGAAAATCTTGTTTTTCATCTTGTGGCGACAATCAATTTGTTCGTGTTTTGCTTTCTTACGTCACTTTTGGTTCCCAAAGCGAGCCGTGCAAGCACGTATCGAATTAGATTAGTTTTATTCGCTGCAATCAGCCATAATTCCCTTTGATCACTTCTATATTTTACGAAAATTTATTCCCTAATTGTTTATAGTGGGTTGGTCTTTAGCTTTTGCTAGTTAGTTACAATAAAGGGCCGACAATACATTTATTGCACTATGAATATAATACCATGACGGCCCATGAAATAACACGGCTCCAGAAGGCCTGAAATAAAATATAGCGCCTAGATATAACACAGACCTGAAACCAACGCAAGAAAATTACAAAACTTTTGTACACCAACCGACAAATTTGTACAATTTCGACAAAGAAATACGGATATCGATCGCGTTTTTTTATGTTGCATTGTTAAGTTTGTTTGTTATAGGTTATATTCTGGTTTGCTAATCATACGGGCAAGATATATTTCGCGGCGATGGTTTAATTACATCGACACGGCGCACGAGAAGTCTCGGATATAATAAATTGCATCCGAACATTCGTTAGTTACAAACGCAACCCTTCGACAAACAACGGAATGATTTTAGTGCATTCGGTCAACAGAAACAGCAAAGAAACGCCTTTTGTAAGCTTAGCTTTTACAAAAAAGCCGACAGACACATCAAAAATGACACTAGAGTCTAAACGAGGTCTGTCATCTAAAACAAAGTAAACTTCTACGTCACTTCAGTTCGGTCTCTCTCAAATTCTCCTTGGAAAAAAATTTTAATTAATTAGAATTGTTTTTTCCTTCAAGCTCTTTATGCTTATTTCGAAAACACTATAGAGCTAGCGTTTAAGCGTGAATTGCAAAAGGGATAGCCACTTAACTTAAAATATACATTCACGTCCGCGAAGAATTAAAAGAGAAGATAAATCTTTTAAAACTGCGCCTGAATCTTACGAGCGACTAATTTCAGCAACTCATTTGGTCTTGACAAGTCGTGCAAATAGTCGAACAATGCGCGGTTCGAGAAACACATTCAACAAGGTTATAAGACGTTACAAAATCTGTCATGAAAAAAGGCAATTTTCTAGTCTTTCTATTTAATAGCTCTTTTAAGGAGTTAAACTAAAAAGATCTATACCGCGTTTTTTTAGAATTGCGGCGCCCTTTTCCATATTTGACGCTTTGGCTATATGTCTTGTTCAAACAAGTGTGGACTTGAAATGGATCTGACCCTTTTGTATTTCAACGCCGATATAATTACGGCCATGATCCCCTTTCAAATCCCTTCTTTATAAGCCGCTTTCATGTTATTGCAGCCACTTAAAACTCACTATCAAAAGACGTTAATAATGAAATAGAGCTCCATCATTACACACGGTTCTCACAACAATTTGTGGCGTCCACAACCCCAAACAGCACAACGCTTTTTTTTTTTTTTTTTTTGTGAAAGAAAAAAAAATATACGAGTATTTTCATTACGTCTTTTTTCATTAAAGCGCGGAAGTAAATCGTTCTCATATCGCAAACACATAAGTTAAAAGCAAGCATGCTCGATAATTTAAACACAAGCGAAGTTCACGCGCAACGCGGCGAGAAAATTTAAAACTCTAATTGCGAAAGTGCGCGTAGCCGGTGAAGTTTTCAGGGCTGTGTTAATACTTTTGTTTGTTCAGACTCGAGTAATTTGGAGCACTACGGAAAGGACAAAAGAGATTTCTCTGGTGATAATGAAAATGAGAATGGCACAACCCTATGGGGATGCAATTAAAAATAAGTGATTACCGTCGCATATTTTACTGATATGCCTCGTTATTTTTATTCATAGGAAAATATTTGAATTTATCCCATATCTCGCTCCGCCATTTTGAATTTTTTTACTTTTCGCGAATCCGTACAAAAAAGAAAGAAACTTGGTGCCAAATGTGAAAAGTGCTATGTCGATTCACTGAACAATAATTAAGAAACAGCACATACTATAAGGGCAGAGTTATGCATAATAACCAGAACCAGCGAGTATCGACGAAGCCAAAATAAAAGCAATGTAGACGCACCAGAGAATAACAAGGCACCTGGCTTCTAAGCAAAAATAACCACTTTTTCCTCGTTTATCCCACTGATAGCCTCTCCGAGTGAAAAACAAAGGGTAGGTGTCAATCCTTTTAGCAGCATGGCTGGGAGATATTGTGTAATACGGAAATTAGTTAAAGCTAATCTTCCTTTCAATCGCATTGCGTATAAACCACGGTATTGGCTTAAATAATGTATTATTACTTTACATCACGGGTTGCCATTTCTTTTATTCTAGGAAAAGATAGTGTGCGCTAAAAATTCATGAATCCACAGGGGGTAACAAAAAGTGATTGAAAATAATAGCTATAAAACAACTGTATTTGGAATCGAAAGTTCGCTCGCGATTGCCCAAGATTGAAGAGTCAGCAATTTTAAGGATTTCCCCCACCATTTAGCTATTTCCAGATTTTAAGTGTAATTTCGACGAACGTCACAACGACGTTTTTGTAAACAAACTGGAATTGTACATTAAGACATCCAGAAAAGAATCACAATACCCTCAGGAAAGGAACTATGACAAAGCAATTTTAAAATAGCTTGCATATGTAGGACGCTTCAGAGTTACAGCTTGAGTGCTTTTCAGCTGTTTTTTTTTTTTTTTTTTTTTTTNTTTTTGTGGTGTTGCACTGAAATTACGCCAAATAACGCGGCAGGAATCAGATATTTGAGAGACACGGCAACAAGTATGACCAACTTTCGTGGTTAACTGTGATTACTTGATTACTTTCAGTGGTGCATAGTTTTGTAATTCGTTTTTTTTTTTTTTTTTTTTTTCCAACTTCCTCACTCTGTTTATCGGTAAATGACTTTCAAGATAACTTTTCTTTGTAAAACCAAGACCGAAAATTGGCTCTTATAAAATGTCATTTGGTGCCTTCACCTCTAGCTGTGACGTAAATGGCCTTTCCAATTGTAAAAGTAAAAACCCACGCTTC